CATGACTCCATCATACTACAAATCCCCCTTCTCCTCAATTCCTTTGTTGGGTTACATTTTACTTAACCTGATTCCAATCAAGTTTCACCACTCACTCCTTGGAAGCCCTTTCCTAACCTTTATCTGTGCTGCTGAAGTTGCAGCCTAAAGCACTCCACCATATTACTAAATTTCTGCTCAACCTAGAAATAGCCCAAGAGTTACTTGAGATCAGGTGAAATACCTTACTCTCTGCACCCACAATACAAAATCATTTTCTTCTCATTAATTAGGGATTTAATGGAGAAAAACACAGATTCAGCTCCAGATCATACTTGTCTTTGGGCGGAATGGGTTTAAGAGCATACGGGTTTCAGGAAATGGAAGAGCATTGTTAAGAAATAGTGTTCTTTTGAGAATCTATACCCAAAGTCCATAACAGGTATAAGGACCACAGGAAGTTGACTGTAAACTGCCCTTACTTTTCGAAATCTATCTCACTTGGGGAAGTTTCTGTTCTGGTATTTTTTGATGGATAATACAGACCAAATGCTAAGTGCAAGGTACTGGCATATAATATCACAATGAATTTTCACAATGGAAAGAATGAAGGTAGGAATCACAGCACCTTCCTCCATGTCTGCATTTTATTTCTGACACACACAAGGGGGCTTTAAAAGTTCACGGAGATTTTTTTATTATCTTTTAATTCTATTTACACGAACTTTCTGAAGCTTCCTTGTACATTTACGGCAAGTTCATTTTTATAGTGAAAAAACAGAAGACATTTCAATTGCACTCACCTCGCGAGCTGCTGTTCAGCAACAGCAGATGCTCCTGTGGTTCTCCTTTGTAGCTTACCTTAAAGTCTTTCTGCCAGAATCCTTATCAGAAAACTGTAACTCAATTGATTCTACATATAAAACTCACCCTCCCTCAGTTAAGGACCAGTGACAAACTATAGTAAAAGCCTGAGCAATCCAACGAGCAGATGGGGACAATAAGGAACCACTTATTTTAATATATGTAATCAAGTGTTAATTTATGACACAGTGGTCCCATTCTTAAATTTCCTTTTCTTTCTCTCCTAAGAGTCATATGATTTATAAATATTTAAATCACTTTTGTTCAGGAAAATCTAGTAAGATCTGATT